AATCCACGGAGCGAATGTGTCGAAGATCCAACCTAGAACTAAGTTCACCGAGGAGTAAAACCGTGGAGACAGCGAGTCCAACAGACTGGAGGAAGCTGTGGAGAAACATCGGGTCTTTTTGAAGGAATAATCTCAGATTACGAAGAGGAACTGTCGAGTTGGAGAGAAAATGAGTTCAGGTTTGTTTGTTTCATTCAGCATCAGACGATGTTAGCTAGCTGTGGTTTCTAGGTAGTTCATGGATTTAGAACTTGTAAATCTATTGTCTGTGTTTGTAGCTTAGCATGCTAACGATGAAAGAGTTAAGATGGACAACTTCCAGAAAGTAAAATGAGGAGATTAAGAGGCGGGAGGCTGTTTTTATCACTCAGTTTGGACACGTCCTGTCCCAACTCATGTTAAGGACACAACAGTTTTACACGAAGCAGAGCAACTTATTCAGGCTGTGTCTAAACCCAGGGCCTGTGTCTGCTCCGTAGGCCGCAGTTGAAACCAGGTACTTGAACGCGTCACGACCGTGGACATAGCAGACGCCTCGTTGAGCGGACCGGCCCAAGTTGTCGGAGCGTCCGCCATTTTGAATGCGGCAGAACCGCCGGTGTTCTGTCCGTTAGTCATACAGTCAGATTTCCATACGCGTATCACAAACTGACGGCTGTATGTCGGGTCAACAGGTAGATTGTCGGATCGCCATATGCTCCATGTATTCAGCCATATGACACCATGACGTAACAGATCTAGCTGGTTTTTGTTTTTTTATTTTTGCTACTGTTTCCTTTTGACTGTCCTTTTGGTTGCCATTTTATTACATTTATAAATAAATTTGAATTCCTCTTTTATCCTGATGCATGCTCAATAATCCAGGTAGAAAAATCCAAAAAAGTTCAATCTGGTCCTCTGGACATTCAAAAAAGCAAAAAACAAAACAAAGCAAAAAAAATCTAGAAACGTTTCGTCTCTCATCCAAGAGACTTCCTCAGTCTGAGGTGCTGTATTCAGCTCAGTCTCTTAAATAGCACCTTCACAGAGTGGATCAACCAGTTTGCTGCTGACAACCAAAACCAGCTGATCACATGCTCAAGAAGGACCATCAGCCTAACAATGGATCATTAGCACCTGATGGCTGTTTACTGTTCACAGAGGGCTGAGTGATACTAGCAATCACAGCATTGTAAGAGGGGGACAGTTGAACCCGGAGGCCTCCACCCCTGTTTAATGATTTTATGATTCTCTTTTATTGTTGTCGTCACTGTTCGTTAAAGAAATCAGGTGTCTCTTGTAAATGAGTCCCTGAGGCTCAGTGGTATCAACCTGTTTAAATAAAGGTTGAATGAATGAAAAAGATCAACTTTCAGACACTGTCAGTGGCGCTGGAAGAGTGGGGGGCCAGGGGGCATTGCGCCCCCCTTTTTACAGCCTTGCTCGTCAGCTGGTCCCAGACATTTACGTGGGCGTGTGTTCTGCTGTATTTTCCTCACCCCGTAAGAAATGTAAGTAAAACTGCTACAAACGTGTAAATGGGAAGATGAGCTCTCCCTCACGCTTCGTCGCCTGCAGTCGAAGGGCTTCGCTGGAAGCGCAGCGCGCTCCTGCAGCCGAGGTTGTCTCCGGGGTTGCACTGCGCCTCCAGGAGGGAGAGGCTGAGTTCAGCTCACGAAGACGAGGAAAGAAGAGCCACGAGTTTGACCTGATTCAAACATGTTGGAAAACTGAGTCTTTTTTTCTGCTCCAGACCAGTGAACCAAAGAGTGTTTTCATTCATTCAACCTTTATTTAGACTGGTTAATCCCATTGAGCCTCGGGGACTCATTTACAAGAGACACCTGAGTTCTTGAACAAAGAGTGATAACAACAATAGACCGTCATAAAAGAGGCTTGCAGATTTTTTTTAAACAAATTAAAATAAAATAGCAACCAAAGGGACCGTCAAAAGGAAAAAGTAGTGATAAAAAAACAGCTAGATTATAAGGCGGTGTAGAAAACTAAGAGCAGGAACATGTCTGCAGTGGTTTTTGCCATGAACTGATGTTTAAAGCCAAGAGGTCAAGTCTGTTTTATCCACAACAATATGTGTTGTAAATAATACTGCTTCTGTCTGTTTCTCCTCCAACAACTATTGTGTTTTGACCGCGTATGTCGGAGTGAATGTTCTTTACACTAAAGAAGCAGAGATGAAATAAAAACCCAGCCAAGGCGACGTTTTAATTGCGTTGCCTCTCCACCATCATCACCACCTAATGATTCCTCTCGCAGCTCCTTATTGATGTTTGTAATGGCATTATCTCATGGGGGGGGGGGGGATCAATGAAGCTGAGAGGAGCATCAAGGAGTCAGAAGATGTTGGATTGCTGTTCGTCCATTTAATTCAAGCAGGTGCTCATTATCTGCAGCTTCTCTGCGTTCAGCGCAGAGTTGTGTTGTTTTTACATGTCTGACCGAGCTTGTGGAGCTCTTGGTGTGTTTAAGTGTTCTGGTGCAGAGCTTTCAATAAATGTGTAATTCAGTTCATTCATGTCTGCGTTTAACAAAACAAATGTTTTCAGTTAATTCAGCACTGGCTTTTAAACCCAAACATCCAGGTAGACAACAAACGTTTCAGAAACGGGTCCAGATGACATGATTTAGACGTTTTTGTTAATTCAGCAGTTTTTCTGGATCAGATCGGTATCGTATTGGCACCTGTAGACAATAAACCGCAGGTATCGGTATCGTATCGGAAGTGAACAAAAGAAAGAAAAGTGTATCGGTGCATCCCTAGTTTGAGTGGGTGGATTTGTCCACAGCTTTGAATGTGCTGCGCGACATGTCGGCAGACCGGAGCGTGGATGTCCCATTTACACTGCTGTGTGACAAAACTGAACATGTGCGCAACGTGAAGAAAGATCCTCACGGCGCCGCTGCTGTCGGTACACTTTATTACTAAAAGCTAATATTATAAGGGGTTGAACGACTACATAATTTTTAAACTCGACATTAACATAATAAAACTCGAGTAGAACTCAAGTACTTGATGACATCATATGATCTAAAGATACAAAAATAAATAAATAAATAAATAAAACCGCAAAAAAGGTCATTATTTTCAAAAAAAAAAGACCAACAAAACATTGGGAGCATATATTATGCTCTTACCATTTATCATACTGCAAATAAGTCACAGGAAAAGCTAAACTATTAGTTTTTATTATTAAGCTTCAAACGTGAAGAAACATGCAGCACGTCAGAAACGAAACTAAACACAGTGGGGGTCCCACCCCGCACCACCGCCAGCTGTGGTGCGCATTAAGTTTAGTTTTAGAGATTAATGTGTTTATAGATTTTTTTAATAGGTTTAGAGATTAATATTTTTTGCTTTTTGTTTGTGAAACAAGGTCAGAAGGAAGCTGGTTCGGTAGATTGGACCCGGTGTTACACCATATTCTGTGACTTGCAACAGTGCATGCAACACCGCCCCCTACTGTCACAATATACGGTGGTCTCAATATATGGTTTAACACCGGTTCACAGCGAGCTCAAAACAGTCAGGAAGTTGTTTCATTTTCTGTTTCCTTACGGTAGTTGAACCAGAAGATTCGTCTTTAGTGAAATATTTCCAGACTATTGATGCATTTCTACCTGTTTGCCAAGACTGGGCCTGCTCTGCTCCATCCGTCTGCTTGGAGGAATCCATTTTGTAACCTGCGCCGGTGCGGATCACGTTACACGTGACGTAACGGCGGTGTAATGACATCACCACGAATACTCGACGTGAAATAAAAAAACTCGATAGATGTCCTAGGTATAGATGTGTAGATTACTCGAGTAGTCTGTTAAAGCCCTAATATATATATGTGTGTGTGTGTGTGTTGGCTCCTTCTCTAAGCGGGCCTCTTGCAGAATGCACATACGTATGCACTGCAAATTGTATAACTACACAATAACACCAAGTGTACAATAAAACGATTTACTTACAGTCCAGAAAATACATCGCACACTTCAAATTGTGTAAATACACAATAGTACACCAAAACAATTTACTGACTTTAATAATCCTGGTATTCAATCCAACATTTTTCAGTCAGGTCATCTGGACAGTTTCTTTTTTGGTGCTGAAATGATAGATGGATAATGTTGGATTGTATACCTGGATTATTGAGCATGGACTTTGTTGTTTTCAACCAGTTTGACACGACTGTCAACAAGGAAGAGGGCCGGCAATGGAGGAGGGGGTGTACCAAAGAGACCATCTTATCACAAACAAAACTGGTTTGTTCCACTTTGGAGTAAGCTGTTGGGGGAAAAATCCGTTTTGTTGTGTTTCCTTGACTGATGAAGCCTTCTGGATGGAAGGTGAAACGCTTGAGCACAAAAAAAGAAACTGTCCAGATGACCTGACTGAAATATGTTGGAATTTACTGACTTGCTTTTTTTTAAAAATCTTGTAGTGTAAGATAAACGGACAGCTACTCTGAACGCCGTGGGCCTCTTGCAGAATGCGCATGCTTTTTTACTACATGTATGAAAATCTGACGTGTATGCATAATGGACAGAACAACGGTCAACAACAACGGTCAGTCTGAGGGGTGTATTCAGCTCAGTCTTAAGACTGACTCAGACTTGAGAAGTCTTTCTGATGAAAGAAGAAACATTTCTACATTTTTTGTTTGTTTGTTTGTTTTTGAACGTCCAGAGAACCAGACTTAACTTTTTTAGCTTTAAATATAGATGTTTTTGTAGAATCTGGTTCATCAGATTTAATTCATTTCAGTTTATTTATACAGCACCAAGTCACAACAGAAGTTGTCTCAGGGCACTGAACAGAAATATTCATATATAAAATAAGTTAACAAACATTCACATATAAAAATAATAATTTAATATTATTTATCTGAGGAGCAGACTGCTTTGAGTTTAACTCATCGCAGAACTCTCATTAGCAGGACTTGGATTCTGAACATGCCTCCAGAATCGGTCCTAAAGTGCAGGTGCAAATCCAGGCTGAGCAGGGATGTGCAGCGCGGAGCAGAGCTGGGGCTGAATAGGAGCAGTGCAAACGGACCATATGATATTCAGAAAGAAACGAGGCGTAACCAAACAGAACCGAGCTCTGTAAACAAGCCAACTGGAAAACAACGTGGGCTGAGTGAAGTTGGCCCCTCACCTTCTTCAAATCTAATGAAATTGGTGTCAAACATTTGTG